CCAGTCCACATAGCGTCCTATATTTCCTTTTGCAAGTGGATTCTAGTTCGACATCCCATGGGACTCTAGCCTTTCTCTGTGGCTTAACCCTAACGCAAACTGAAAAACATGCGGTTGCCTGAACCTGAGCAATGTGCAGCACAGTTCCCATAGAAGGGAAGAAACACGGACCAGAAGCATCCCACCTTTTCTGTGGCTGCCTCATCCCTCTCCTCAGGGTTTGCATCAGGGTTTGGTTCCACATGGAGGTTCCAGCGATCGAGCTGCACAATGTTCCCATCTTCCACGTGCGATAGGATCTTGGACAGAGGCTCATCTGTGTAACCCTGGTGTTAAACAAAACTTGTTGATTGCCCAGTTGCGTCCCACAGAGATGCCCCAGATATGGTGGGCCTTAGGCAAGCATCCCAAAGTCGAGGATAAGGAAAATCCTCAGTTCTACTGGAATAAGCAACTAATTGGAACTTTGAATTTCAAAACAATATACTTCCCTTCCAAGCATCAGTCAAATAAAAATTAAGTTTGAAGTAATATTTGCTTGTGTTAATTTCCTAATATTAGATACAACAATACAATTCAGAATAATTCAGATCACTGAAGAGCTTATGTGTTGGTCAATATTTATGAAAAGTCAAAACACCAGTTGCTGCAAATCCCCATCTCTGTAACTTGAGCTGAAGCACACATTCCACTTGTGCCAGCAATGGGCACTTTGATCTCAGCAGAAGTCACTTACCCCACCCCAGTTCAGTGTTCTGGCCAAGTCATTCCCTGTACCCAAAGGCAAGATGGCCACAGGAGGAGGTGGGTTGAGGCGTAACTGGTCAAGAATGGAGAGTATCCAGCCCACCTATTCAAGCAAAAGAGTACAAAGAAGCAACTTACTTCAGAGCCAGCCAGTAAGCAAGTGCAGGTCAGTCAGAACACTAGCCATGGCCCAAGGAAAGAGACAGGTTTCCTCTTAGCTACTACAGAAGCTATTCTCGTCCTTTTATGCTCTAAATGGGTCCCAGTAACCTTGGTGGGCACAAAGCCCCCTAAAGAACTACAAAGCCAGACGTGCCACACAACTGGCACCTCCCGAAGTAGCGCACAGTGCAGGGATGGAGGGCATAGTTGTCTCGTGTTAGCAACTGTATTGCAAACACCATATGCACATTTTGTCCTCTTCTGGATCACAGCAAGGAGGGCTGCTGCCATCCCTGCAAAGGCCTGGGGCAGAGGACACTGCAGCCTAAAAGGGTCCAGGACACTCACTGTGCCATCCCCGCCGCACGCCAGGATCCGTAGATTGTGGACCTTCCGGTACAGCTCCAGCCTGCAAGCAGGGAGAGCAGGTCAGGAGAGGAGGGAACAAGCACTGAGGCTATAGCCCAGGAAAGGTGCTACTGAGTGGTTGCAGAGTCCCTGACCCTCACAGGGCCCTCAGGAGGTGGCATTCACAAAGCCATGCTTGTCTACCTCTTCAGCACCTCAGTTCAGTCCTGGCCAGCCACAGTGACTGCCTTCACTGACCCTTGTAGAAACGGAGCAATAGAGCAGACTATTTACATTCCTTGTACACAGTGGTATACTGAAACACAGCAAGCTTCTAAAACTTGAGTGCCATTAATGGAACATTATGAGCTAGATTTGGGAATATCATCCTGCATCTTAGTTTTTAGCCATTAGCTTTAAAATTACAATATCTCTCCTGGCAGAAACACTGAAAGGCCAGCCCTGCCTGCAGACAGTCCTAGTGAAACCTCTCAAATCCTGAACTTGCTTTGAGTTCCTCTTTGCACAAGGAAACTACAGAGCATTGGGTCTCTCCTAGCTGCATAAAGAGTTTTGGGGAAGAAATTCTGGAGCAGGGATGGGGGAGAATGGGGCTGCCTCCATCAATACTCACGCCTCCTTGGGTCCGCCCTGGCTGAGGTCAAAAACTTGACGTGGGTTGAGATACCACATGAAGGATTGGATGATCTTGGCTCCCTAGAGGGATGAGAAAGACTTCAATCAACAGCAAGATTCTCATGGACAGAGAAAAGAAGGCATCTGGTGTAAGAGGAAAGCAGTAACAACACTGTGTCAGGGCACTTGGGCAAAGCCTGGGCTGGGTGGGAAGATGGAAAGCATTACGTAGCCAATTGGTACTGCAGCTGAGACATTTCCAAGCTATTCTGAGCTCTCAGCAGCTGGGTGGTAAAGCCCCCACATATCTGTCTTCTTGGGGAGACTCAGAACAAGGATGTACCTGATTACCACCGCTCTTTGGGTTCACAAACACCAGCAAGGGCTTCATGAGAGGAGCTGGCATAGGCTTGATGACAAAGGGTTTCCACCTTCCTTCCTGCAGGAGACACAAAAGGCCCATCAACAAACTTGGGGGAATGCAAACACACCTTCAGGTGAACCTTAATGTCACATAGGTTGGGAGCAGGAGGTGTCAAGGGAAAGTGACGGGCACTCTGTAAACCTTAAACACTAGGACTTGCCCTGACAGAAGGCAAAACTCACCTCACAGCCTCTCATACCTCTGTTGCATCTACTGAGATCTTCCATGGCTCCCACGGTTCCTCCTTGACCCAATATCCCTCCAGTCTATCATCTTCTTTAGTCCTACAGCTCTGCTCCTATCCTCCTAAGTGCCCCTGCTTCCAGATTTTCCACCCTCACAGCACCCAGTCCCATCATCTCTGACCTCAGCCCCCTTTTTGCTGGATTTCCGTTTGAATGATGCCCTCTTCTTCTTCTTACTAGACTTCAGTGGATTCTAGAGAGAGAAGGAAAAAATGAGTTAAATCCCAAAACTTGTCAGGAGTTACTGGGCAAGGAGTCACGGATAAACCACGAGAGCTGAAGTGATTTACCTGGGGCCGTCGGACCCGCAGAATCCAGGTGGGAGGAACAACAACAGCAGCATGAGCCCCTAGTGAGCAGGGCTCTTCGATGTGTTGCAGCATGAAACATGACACTTTGCTGTGATACTGGAAAGAGAGAGAAGGGAAAGAAGGAGAGGAAAAAAATCTGCAGCTCCATTCACCAAAACTGCCTTTTCCTCCCCCAGGCTTCTCCATGCCAGTTTAAGGGTTTCTGTGGGAAATGATGCACGAGTTTTGTAATAAAAAGGCTTCCCCTGGGAGGCCCTGAAAGTGTCTCATGGAAACTCCCAGCTACTAGAGCAGAGCCTCTCCCAGTAAAAGGAGCTGTAAGGACATGCTCCAGAGAACAAGCCTGAGAATCTCCAAGTAGAAAATGGAGGTTGTAGATACAGAACAGATTGGTTAAGATGTTAGTTGGGTCTTTGCTTACCGCTTGCTTGCACCAGGAACAGCTGATAGCTACAATCTCTTTACTGTGGAAGGCAAACTTCTGCTGGAAACCCTGTGGAGGGAAAGACAACAGTCTTGGGAAACTCCCTCACAGCTCTCTACCATTTAACAGGACTTCTCCACTGCAAGGAGAGACACCACTAAAGAGAATATGTCTGCAGTTAGGGTGCCCTGGGAACCCCTCTGAGAGCCCCAATCACCACTAGAGCACTGAGCTCTGCAGTAGTGTCCTCAACTGCCCAGAGAAAGTATGTAAGGAAGGAAATCCTCTCCAGGGAATTTGAGCCCAGGGGAAGAATAACTCTATGCAATAATCCCCAAACTATGGTGGTTATCTACTGCTTCACTCCCTGTCCCTGTGCAAAACAGGACATGAGTCTTGAATTTGCTACAGGCTCTTCCTGTCCGTCAGAAATAGATCTCTCACATTTCCAGCTCTGTTACCCTTCCGAGTGTGACCTTAGCTTTCCTTCAGCCTGAGCCAGAAACAGGACACCTCCTCACCTTGCCACACTGCCGGCATTTCCCTTCCTGCCGTCTTCGGTGCACCCAATGATGCCGGACAACTATAGGCTATGGAGAAAAGAAAAATAAAATGATAAGCCCTTAATGTGAAGGAATGCAGGCATAGGTATAAGGTACGGACTTGTCTTGCTCATCTCCTCAGACCAAACCCTGACAGCTTGGACCCCTGCCTTCAGGGAGAGGCACAAGGCTGTTCACAGGAACCTTCTGTCCATCCGCACTCATGGGAACAGCTCATTTTGGGTACAGGCTGGTGCCTGATGGGCAACTGTGGTGGCAGAGTAACATGACAAGCTGATCCCTGAATACTGCAGAGCACAGTAAAGCTTACATTGAAGTACTGCATCTCCTATATGCTGCCCTCTTCTTTCAGCCATGAACCTGGAAGGAAAGCTGTATGAGAGTACATGGCAAGAGAAGCAAAGAAAGGAGGAGGTTTTTTTTAGTGTTCTGCCTTATCAGATCACACTGGCATTTCTGAACACGCTGTCCTGAATTTGAGTACTTTCTCCTATTGTGTTTTCTGTGCCAGCACAAACACAGTGTGGGGGCAGCAGCTGTGTTACCAGCAGCCCTTGACTGAGCCATCAATACCCATTCCAGAGCATTATGTGGGTTGCTCCAGTTTGACAGGTGGAAGGGAAAACACAAAAGGTACTTTCACCAGAGCAGAACAAGGATGACTCCTGCATACAGTCATGGAGGACAGTCCTGGCTATGCTGAGGGGCACGTGGAGAGTTTAGACTAGGAAGGACACAAACATTAGACCCGTAGTTAGACTCCTAACTAGGCTAAAGGTGTTAAAGGATGCATTTCGGAGTACCTGTGGCACTAAAGACAGGCTTAAAGGAAAGCACAAAGTGAACCAGTACTGCCACCAACCAAGCTATGGCAGTCCTGGGGAACCGCTGTTTGCCAGAGCATCCATTATTTGCTTGGGGAAAAATCTCTCCCAGGAAACTTTGCTTGCACATTTCCCCCATGCAGACAGACACAGAAGCTTTTGAACATGCAGACTAGTAGGTAACCATGTTTTTCCGTCTATGATTTCTCTACTTATAACATTCAGCCTGAGCTGCTGCCTTGCAAGGAAGCATTCCTTTAAAATGTGCCACATTTTTGCAACGGAACACACAGCGCAACGCCTGCCCTCGGAGAGGCAACACACGACACAACCTGGGGCCTCCACCACCAAACTGGGAAGACACAGGCAAAGTCTCAGGCACATCTCTCACCTCCCGAACGTTCCGGGATCCTGACTCCCTGAAGGAAGGTTTGCAGCGGAAATTTATCTGTGGATTGAACACACATGAGAAGAATGAGAAGAAAACCTACTGGAGATTGTTTTGCTACAACAGGCCCAGAACCTCTAAAGGTGTTCAATGGTTGTCTGTGAAACCCACCACATGCCTCTCTCAGCAAACAAAAGCCTTGGGTCCTAATTATGTTGCTAGACATTCCTTTTGGAATCATCTCCTTTAAAAAAAAAAAAAAAAAAAAAAAACCACGCTTATTGCCATTGACAGCAGTCAGACTCAATCTTCTTGGGAGCTCACTACAAGTCTCCGAACAAGAACTGAGCATGAAAAGGCTGCTACAACTTTGGAAGACAAACAGAGGGCTTTAATAGTCTTTACTCACTTTCTCTAGCTGTTCTATGCAGGGTGTATGCACTATAATCTTGCAGGCTGCACACTTACGCCTGGAGAGTGGCTTTTGCTGGAGGAGGACAAAAAAAAAGTGAGGAAAAATATCCATGTGAATAGCAGTGAACAGACTGGCAAGCTCATTCCACCTCCCCCACACCTTTTTCTTGTATTTTTGGGGATGTAAAATAAGCCCTATAGGAAAGTTAAACACAACCCACACTTCTTGCAAGTACAGGGATCTAAGAATGTGCCTAGAACAGATGCTCCCCAGTCTGCAGCAGAGCACAAAGATGCCCTCCCACTGCATGATAATCAACCCTTGGCCTCTTCTGACCCTGCCTGAGTGCCTTACAAAAGGCAGTTTGGGAGGTACTTGTGCAGTGCTGGCCTCGTGTTTGTGCTCATGCAGCAAGACCAACGGGCAGAATGGCTTCCCTGCTGCTCTCCGACTCCTCAGGCAGGATTCAGCCTGCAAGCAGGGAGAGCCTTGCTTTCCCTTGCTGTAGCATCCCCATAGAAAAAAAACACCTGGGGTAGTCCTGCAGGTTAGGTCAGGGATGGGTCTCCACTGCTCATTTCTCCCCCTCTGTTGAAAGGTCTTCCCAAAGAACACAGGACCAGATTCTCCCTCTGAGAGCTTGTGATCCCAAAGCCCCGCGAAACATCCCCTACACTCAGCTGACAACCCTGTGCCAGGCTCCCAGGGGTAGCCCTGGCTCATGCTAGGGGTGCAGCCGTTCCCCACACACCAGCAGAGAGAGCACACTGTCCCCTGCCCTGTGCTCCCCCCAGGACCAGGCAGAGCGGGGCCTTCGCAGCGTCTCCGCTGGGTGGCAGCACAGGCCACCTCCAGGGATCTCGCCAGGGGACAGGGGTGACCCCAGGTGACTCACCAGCAGCTTCGCCATACAGTTCTGCTCCCCAACATAGCAGAAATCCCCAGAGGCATTGGTCTCGAACCAGATGTGCTCCCCATAGACTGCAGTCTCCTGGAAGGCACAAGCCAATGCTGTGTTTCTCGGAGAGCACCCCCAAATGATCACCTGATCTCCTAATATGCTTTGTGCTAGAGACAAGTAAACTTGATTTGGGGGGTGGCGGCAGGGAAGAGAGGGGTGGCAGATGCAGGTAGGAAGACAATATGCACAGAACAACCAGGGCAAACACATGGAGAGAGGAAACCTCACAGAGTTGCTCCCCAGGAAACCAACCCTCCTCTCAGATCCTAGGGAAACACCTACAGTCTAGTTTCAAATGTCCCATATATTGACTGCTCCTGTTGCCCCCTGAGGAGATGCAGCTCATAAATCCAACGCTGGAGTCTCTCCTGAAACAGTCTCTGTTCTTAGACTTATGGGGGCCACTCAAAACCTGCCCAGCTTTGCCTCTGCAGAAGAACAGTGGGAGTAGAGGCTGGCTCCCATATGGCAAGGAGAGCTCTGTGCCCCAGATTACACTTGCCAGAAGAGATATAAGTTAAGTAACTGTGCCATCCTTCCAGACAACTACCCACACCTGCACAGCCTCTCCCTGCAGCATCAAGGGGTGCTGCCAGCAGTACAGATGGTGGCAACAGCAGAGGTCACAAATCTATCAAGACCTAAGTCACCCGGGAAGCCTCAGCCTGGGAAGAACCTCCTGCTTCTTGGCCCAAAGCTCATCCCACGTGATGCCCAACAAAATACAGTGCAACTTACGCTCCAGTCCACAGTGCTGCGTATCTGCCTCTCTGAATCGCTCCTCAGGGCTAGTGCAGGGTTAGGCTGGGCTACCATGTGCTGGAGGCTGGACTTGGCAATAGCTTTTCTGGAAGACACAAGAGGGCTGCCTATTAGATCAGGAGAGGAGGAATGCATGCAAAGCACAGCCTTCTTCTGGGATAGACAGTGACACTGGAGAAGAAAACCATCCTCAGAACCAAGCAGCCAGGAACGTAACGAATGCCCCAGGAGCGCTGTCTGAGAAACATCCAGCCCTCCTACAAGTCAGGCCTTCCTAGATGCAGAAGTGCTGGCCACGTTGCTGACATCACCAAAGGTCATCATACCTCTGGCAAGACAGACTCAAGCTACTGGGTCAAAGCCTTCAGGGATGACAATCCCATTGCATGGGAGCCCAGCACATCCCAGCACCAGCAGCCTCCACTATGCTGCGGTGGTGGGTCTGCCTCCGCACAGGGGGCTTCCCCACAGCTGCCACATACACAGGCAGCTGAGAGCTTCCCCCAGGTACGTTAGGGTGGAGGAAGGATGTGGGTCTAGTCAACTGCAGAAGCTGGACAAGAGCCGCCTCTAGCCCAGGAAAAACCCTGGCACCTCTCCTGGTGGCTGGGCTGCGAGAGGGCAGGCAACAGAGGTGCTTTGTGTGAGCTGGAAGGGGACGTGTGGGAAGCCCCAAGGAGCTGGGTGAGGGCATCAGGCAGAAAGAGAAAATTCTCCGTCCTCAGCAACCTGCAGAGAAAACGCTGGCTCCTTGCTCTCCTCTGGGCACATGAGCAGCACTGCAAGGACACCAGCAGAGCAGGAGGCAATGACAGCAAGGCCTGGGGCACCTTCTCTGACCCTGGCCATACGGCCCAAAGGGCCTCAGGGCCTCCAGCCAAGCTCCTGCCCCTTCCCGCTGCAGTCCTGCAGCCCCACGTCCACTCCCCTCTCAGAGCCTGCCTCGCTAGCCTCACACCAGCCATACATACAGCAGCCGGGGGCTCCAGCTGTCGGGCACGGCAGAGCAGGCGGACTCGGATCCGAGGCACTCGGCGAAGGCCAGCGGCGGGTGCCCGGCTCCGGCTGCAGCCATCCACCAGGCGGGCGGCTGCCACGGGCCGCCCGAGGCGCGCCGTGCCGCGGCGCCCAGGCCCTCGCTGGGGCGCCGCTGCTGGCTGAGGCGGCGGTAGCGCCCTTGCAGGCCGGAGGCGGCCCTGCCGTACACGCACTCGGTGGGCAGCAGATGGGAGGATCTGCGGCGCAGGCAGCGCGGGCCCCTCAGCAGCGGCCTGGCGCGGAGGAGCCGCGGCACGGGCAGCATGGAGAGCCAGGCCTCCTCGGCCTGCCACCCGCGCCGGCTCGACGCCCTTCCTCCGGCGGCCGCGCTCGCCTCCCCGCCGCCGCTGTCCTCTGGGGACTCAGATCTGGAGCTGTCGGCACAGGGCACCCCACCGCCCTGCTGCCTCGCGGGGCCGAGGAGGAGCGCGGGAGGGCCCGTCGAGTGCGCGGCGTGGCGGGCTGGCGCCTGCACAGCGAAGCGGGGGCTGAGGC